GTCGCTCCGTGGCCTGGCCCCCCGCCCCCCCCGCCCGCGGCGGCCTGCCTCCGGCCCCCCCGCCGCGGCGGCCCGCGCCCCCCCCCCCCCGGAGCAAGAGAACTGGAGAATGCGAAACAACAAAAACTCTCGGGTTTCCCAAGCAGCCCGGATGAGAAATCTGTCCTAGGCAGCCGGGACGGGCCTATCAGGTTTTTCTGATTGGGCGCCTTGCTGGCGGTGGATGCGAGTGCGAATTGAGGGATGGGTTTTTAGGGGGTTTCGCGGTGGGGTTGGGGGGTGGATTGCGCCGCAGAAAAAAAATATATAATAAACCCCCTAATGGCTAACGGGCAGAACGGGTCAGTGAAAGGTAGATCGTCATAGCGCGATTGAAACGCTGATGGTGGAAGCCGGTCCCGCCAAGAATAGCAATTGACGTATTGACATCTTGTATCGGTACCCCGGATTCTTGGCTATCATTTGGTGCATCACATGTACCGGTAACTTCCCTACCAGGTTTTATTAACTTTTTTCTTCAGTGACGTTCTTTTTTTGCGAAACGTTGGGGTAGCTTCCTCGAGCTTTGCTAGCTCAAAGCTATTCCGAGGTAATACAATGCCATTCTTTCCTTGTTGTTTCTTTAACGAATTTAGAGCTTATTACTAGCTCGAAACCCCTCTAGTATCTATTGTATCTATTGGCGTAGGTATTAACAATTAGCCTTGTATACCTACCACACAATCAAACAATAACAAAGCTATGCGCTTCATCCGTTGGTAAACGAAACGATTTATGATATATCAAAGAATAACGCAGCTAGAGGCTCAGCCAGGCGTCTCCTCGATTAACAGATTCAATCTGCCAATCTGCTAATGTTATACCTATGCGACAGTCCGCATCTTCACAACGAGGGGTGATGTTTAGGGCCGTGGCCTAGTCTAAACGTCCATATGGGCGACAACCATAGAGTAAACACGTTTGGTATTTACTACTTACTACTTAGTAGTCACGGCGAAGTAATGGTCTAGATTAGGCCTATTGAAGCTCGTGAGCCGCAATGTCTACTATTTCGGTATCTCATATTACCCGGAAGACTTCCCTCCGCGGGCCATTATAACACCGTCTGGTGGTTTGTACTAGGTTTATATGCCAAAGTTCGCCGTGCTTCAGTGCTCTGGTTTGGCTGTTTAATCATGTTATTCTTCTCTTCTAACTAGATCAAATTCATACCTACTCTAGAAATGAAGTTGTCTCTAGTTCTTCTGTGGGCGGCAAGCGCTCTTGCCTCCCCTCTCCGCCGGGGCGCTGCGAAGTTATCTCCAGTCACGCGCAACGGGACCAGTCTTTTGGTCGACGGAAAGGTCTGGAAAATGGTTGGGCCAAACGTCTACTGGCTAGGTCTTGACGAAAATGTGACGCCGCCAGCTGGGGAGCCGTTCTATGCTCCTACCAAAGCCAGCTACCCTACCAAAGAGCGTATTACCGAGGTGATGGCAACTGTACAAGCTCTGGGAGGCACCGTGATTCGCGGGCATACCTTGGGTATTAGCACTGGGAACCCCCTGAGTGTTGTGCCCGAACCAGGAGTAGTCAACGAAAAAGCCTTCGATCCAATCGACTGGGCTGTCTATCAAGCAGGTGTATACGGTATTAGGCTACTAATACCGTTGGTGGATAACTATGTCAGCTCATATAACAGAGAACCTGAAGCGACTATAAGCTCATATCTCGATAGGACTATTATCACGGAGGGAAATACAACTTCCTTCGTTGGGCAGGTTTTGACCTGAACCAAAGACGGGATGAGAAGAACCCTCTAGTTCAGCAATTCTACACCAATGCCACCATCGTCTCTACCTTTAAGGACTATATTAAGACGATTGTAACCCACAGAAACCAGTACAATAACCTTACCTTTGCTGAAGATCCTACAATCTTTGCGTATGAGACGGGGAACGAGCTCCTCGGTCCCGTATGGGGTGATATGAACTCACCAGCGGACTGGGTCCAGGACATCGCCAAGTATGTTAAGAGTCTTGCCCCGCAGAAGCTAGTAGGTATGTGAATATACATCTCTATATATGTCTCGATAACTTATACTCATATATTCATTCCCTACAACCATGCTCCTATCTTCTAGCTCCTTTCACTCGACCACCAATCCTAAAGAATTAAACTAACCCATATAGTCGACGGAACTTACGGCATCAACAAAACCCACCTAAGTATCGAAGAAATCGACATCTTCTCAGACCACATGTACCCCGTCGACACGGCCAACCTACAAGCGGATATCAAACTCGTCGAAGCTGCCGGGCGTCCGTTCTTCGCCGGTGAGTATGACTGGGTCGGTGGCAACACCGCCAACCTACAGTCCATGTTCAAGATCATCGAGGAGAGTCCTGCCGTTGCGGGTGATACTTTCTGGAGCCAATTTGGTCACAATGCTCCTGACTGCAAAGTAAGTATTTTCCTTAACCTATCCCACGCATAAGTATTATCATCGTGAGAAATAATTCTGAGTTTGTTACAGACCTACGTAGACCACAGCGACGGTCTCGCGCTTCAGTACGGCAACCCGAAGAACACGGCGAATCAGAACAGCCGCATCCAGCTTATACGAAAGCACTTCATCGCCATGAGCCAGGGCAAGGAGATTGCGCCGGATGAGCCTTTGCCTGAGGTGCCGTGCCCGGCCCCTACGTCGCCATCGTTTCGTTAGGGAATTATCTTTGGTCTATGATGATTGGGATGACGGGGAGAGCTCGTATTGGGCGGACACTAATCTAAACTATCAGTTTAAAGGGGGGCTCTTGTATTCATATAGTCACGGATTTGAAAGAAGTATGAAAAACCACGGCACTTATGACAAAACCTAGGAATATTAATGTGACCTTAGATCTTGGAGTAACCCAGCCGGGGAAATCATTTCCCCCAGAGTTCAGAAGTGATGATATAAGCCTCTCGCCCCTAGCTGAGACGAGCGGCGCAATGTGCAAAAAGAATATCGGTGACTTATCATTCAGCTATAGCTATTTTTCGTAAGGTATGTTCATAATACGTAAGAGCCCGCTTCCTTAGCCTTAGCTTCTTAACGACCCCCCCTAAGACCCTTCACCAATTTTTGAGAACCCCGAACTTGTCTACGATACATCATTCTTCCATCATGTATCCTTACCTGCTATTAGATAGAACTCATACGAGCCACTAGCCTCCGTATGCCTTCACTATAGCGGCGACCTTGTTCGCGAGCTCGTCGGCCTCGGATCTCGTAGCCGCCTCCGCGTACACTCTGCATGCGTTCTCTGTCCCGCTGGCCCTGGCGAAGGAGCGGGCGTTGGTGTACTTCTTCACAACCTTGTCGATTTCGTCCTGGCAGTGTTCCGGGTGGCTCAGTCTTCGCTCTGCATCTGTTGTTCGGAAGAGGTCCTTGTTACCGACTTCGACGCGGACGAGACGGTTAGGAAGATCCTGGTACGTCATGGCCCAGTCTCTTAGCGACCACCCCTTGTGTGCCAAGATAACCTCTACCATGAGCATATCCGATATCGCATCTCCGACGGTCTGGTTGATGAGATCTCCAAGGGCGCTGAGAGTCTCGAGAGCGTCCTTCTGTGCGGGCGACTGGGGCTCCTTGGTCTTGAATACCTGTAGGGCATCTTGAGAGAAGAGGACGGTGCCGTGACCGTTCGCCTCGAAATATACGCCAATATCATACGAGCAAGCGGCGTGGTGAAGGTGCTTAACACCTGTAGGCGTACAGATCACAGGAATCTGTAAGTGTTGCTCGACATATTTTGTGCTCGACCCGTTAGCGTAAGCGGTCTGGACTAGACCGATACGAAGCTGGCCCTCTAAGCCAGCAGTGCGGATAAGGTCTGCAATGAACGATGCAGCCAACGTCGCAATGCGATCTCCGTCAAGCATGAAGAAGCCAGTATCTGGGTCGATCCAATAATACATGAGGCGGTCTGCATCACCATCTAGAGAGCACCATCTCTCACCGGGGGCGGGCTTGGGGGTTGCCGGTGCTCGCTGTCTAGTCTTGACGAAGTCGGCACCGCAGTCCAGGTTCAAGACCTCCGGACGTAGGACATCATCGTTGGCAACCCTAACCTCCAGGCCTGTCTTCGAAGAGTCGTGATGCTTGAGGAGCTCACTAAGCTTCGGGCCACCAACACCATTGGCACAGTCGACAGATAGCTTCCCAGAGACCCGTCGCCCGCGGAGTGCGCGGTAGAAAGCTTCGACAAGCTTCTTGTAATACCCGGTCTCGCTGACCTCACCATATGAGCCAGGGGTTCCGGCAGTATTGATACAACGGGTTAGATAGTGGAGCTGGGGGGTCGTGAGGATCTTGAAGTCGGTATATGCGGTATTTGTAGCAGCTAGAGAGTCGGCAAGGGCTGTAACGAGTCTCTTCCCCGAAGGGCGAGTGTCTCGACCGGCAATGACCTTGCCGGAGGAGGTCAGGTCGATCTTGAGGGAGTCGGCTAGCTTGTAGAAGTAATCGACAAGCTCTTCGTGGCTTGGGGCATTGACGAGGTTCGTGGCATGTACTTCCCACTCTTGCTCGAGCATATCTCCCATGGGATCAACAATCTTCACACCGTTATCCACAGCAGGATTGTGACTAGCGGTGATCATTACGCCGATCGTTTGGCCGTTGAGTTTACGACTCCGGAGAGCAGACAGGAGCCCAACTCTGAAGGTGACGCCATCTAGAAGGTCGGCATTCATACGAAAGCCTGCAGTACCATATTTGTACACTCTTCCAGGGACTATATCGTGCTTCTTCGAAGCGGCGAGGATTGCGTCTCGGTCCATCTTCGGAGGGGCTAATATTCAGTCTCGAGATGCGATACACAGTTGATAAGGTATCTTTTTTTTTTGTGGGATTTGGGATTTGGGATTTGGGATTGTTAAATCAACTATGAATGCAAGAGACTTTGAACTTGAGATGGGGTTAAGGGTTTAAATATAAGGGACCAAGGAGTTACCTAGTTTAGGTACCTTTATAGAAATATGTACGAAGCTAGAAAAGTCCAAGTTGTTAAGATGAGCATCGAAAGTATCGAACGAGTTAGCGAGTAGCCTAATACGAGGTAGTAACCCCTCCTCCCTCCTCTCCCGTCACTAAAACTTAAGTCCTCACCACTAAGTACCTAATTCTAGGTACATACTACTGCAGTTGGTGAAGTATATAGTGGTATGGCCCCGCGCTAAGAGAATCTGACGTTACCCGAGCTGCAAGGTTAAGAACCAGTCAGAGAACCAGTCAGAGCGTAGCTACCGAGAAGGTGGGGCCGAGTAGTGGCTCATGAGCTCCAAGCTGAAAAGGCAACCTCTCAGCCCCTGCAACCTTACCGAGCTTTGCTTCCCCTTACATCCCACTATTATTTATTGGTATTATTTATTGGTTATGGTCACCTGATTTCGCGATTGGCGTTTCTTCCCTTAACGCGCTCAAGTCGCGTCTATCCTCTTGGATTTTATTACTCAGTTGATATCGCCTTCAACAACCGAAATGCCATCTAATGAGCCTTGCGCTAACCCTCTCCTCCTAGGATGGATGGCGGAATGGATTGAAACCGCTCGGGAGCAAAATTCGAAGGGACTTTCAACTTACAAGAAGGCATATACCGCCCTCAAGGCATGCCCGGTAACCTTCCAGCATCCTTCTCAATTGCAACAATTAAAAGGATTTGGTGAGAAGTTGTGTAATCGCTTGACCGACCAACTGAAGAAGCACTGCTCGGATAATGGATTGCCTATGCCTAAGCGTCCAAGGCAATCTATTATTCCTGGCTTGGCTAACCAGGATGACGAAGAAGAAGATGATGCTGCAGAAAGACCACCTAAGAGACGAAGGACGAAGCCTTATGTGCCAACTCTCAGGTCTGGCGCTTATGCCATAATTATAGGGTTGGCAACCCTTGAGGAAGGTAATCGTAATGGAATGACAAAGCAACGATTAATCGAGGCGGCTCAACCTCATTGCGATGCATCTTTTACCGCCCCTTCTGACCCAAAAAGCTACTACACGGCTTGGAAGTCTATGACGACCCTTGTCGAAAAGGACCTCGTCTATGAACGTGGTAGACCAACTAGAAGGTACCATTTGACCGAGGAGGGATGGGAGGTGGCACGACGGATCCAGCAAACAACAACCCCTGATCAACCTAGACCAACTGCGCCTGCGCCAAGAGCAGAGCCAGATCTTCGAGGAGTTGAACGAGTTGAACTTGCTCCTCTCCCACGACTTGTCAATAGGTCCCCATCCCTGGAAATACAAGATCCGCCCAGAAATGAATCTAGTTATTCCGATGTCGTCGCTAATGGCGACCCGGCATCAGGAAGCTCGGCATTGCCGAATTTTAGGCCAATTCGTCTTGCCCCCGGATCCTTTGAAGTGCATTTGGTATTAGATACGCGTGAGGTCCGGGCAAAGACTGATAGAGACTACAGTAAGTAATATTCTGGTTCGATACTTATCACACCATCTAGGTCGAGAGCATCAATCCCAGCTTTCTAAATAAGACGCCTCGTTTGTCGAGCCCAGAAAACGATTACTAACCTAAATCACCCCAGTGCAAAATGAACTGGCAAAGAAAGGCATTAACCCAATGGTGCGTGCCCTGGAACTGGGTGACGCCCTCTGGGTAGCCAAATGTCACGATGCAAACTTCCTTCCTCGACTTGGTGCCGAGGGAGATGAAATCATGCTCGATTATATCGTAGAGAGAAAACGGCTCGATGATTTGATTGGAAGTATCAAAGACGGCCGTTTCCACGAACAAAAGTTCCGCTTAAAACGATCCGGCATTAAGAACGTCGTTTACATCGTTGAAGAGATCTCGATGGATTCGGAAACGCTGGATAAACGCGCAGAAATGGTGCAGTCCGCCATTGGGTCGACACAGGTCGTTAACGGCTTCTTTGTGAAAAAGACGCAGAAGATGGATGATACCATTCGATATCTCACTCGGATGACTATGTTGCTAAAGAAGCAATACGAAAGCAAACCGCTCCTCGTCATCCCCACCGAAATCCTTACCGCGCAGAATTATCTCCCATTACTTGAGCATCTTCGTCAGAAGGAGCCTACTACAGGGCATCATATCACTTACCCAGCATTCGCATCTTTGGCGTCGAAATCAGACATGATGACACTGCGGGATCTGTATCTAAAGATGCTGATGTGTACCAGACAGGTCTCTGGAGAGAAAGCCCTCGAGATCCAAAAGAGATGGAAGACACCTTACGAATTCGTAAAGGCTTTCGAGAATTGTGGTAGCGGGGAAGAGGGCAAGAAGCGCAAACGCGAGATGGTCTTTGAGCAGATGGGGGGCCTGTTTGGACGCAAGAGGATTCCGAAGCCGCTCAGCCAGAAAATTGCCGACATTTGGGCCGACATGTAAGCCCGTCAATTGCTTTATCGAATCCGAATTTGAAGTCAATGACTTAGTACGCTGAGGTGCCATTCTTCATTGTTAGTATCTAGACAACGCTGCAGCTTATTCTCCATATCGGTTACTGGCTTTATGTGTATATCAGATGGTGCGGTAGTCCTTGAGCAGTTTCGTGTCCCTGGCTTCGGTCTTTTCTGACACTTGGCTGTAGATAGTCGGCCTATAGTAAAGTATCCCGGCGTTCTTAGGTCTATTAACTAATATCCGTTTAGATCTTGTAGACGTAGATGATATCGAACCCCCTTTTTTGATCTTTTTATATATATGTCATCAGATAGATCACCCCCTCTTGATACTTTAACTAGCTGTTAACCTCCAACTAATTCCACCCAACAGTCAGTCAATCCCTCAATACCAACCAACCAACCATCCACTAACTCACTCGCCCCCTTCACCCTCACGAATGCCCCCCCAT